TTCTTCTATTCAATAAACTTAATCCAACTCCTTCATGCTAATTGTGCGGTTTGCATTTGTAACACCATCAAGCCCAGGCCTTCTGGGCTCCAATCTTGCAAGACTATCTGTAAAAAGCTGTTAATCATTTTTCTAACACTGGAAACAGTTATCACAGCTTCCTGTTTAGTATAGACATATTCCTGTTTGCCTTAGATTTATTAAACAGTTCACTGCTCTTCAAAGTTTCTGTCTCTCTGTACCTTGTTATCTGCTTCTATTAGGCTTAATTTACAATTGTTTTCTCTCCTTCTCAAACCACCACATCATTCTTGAAACTGCCTTTTAAAGACAGGACTCAGATCGAAAATGAACTACTAGAGATTTTGATAGATAAACATATATCAGTTATTTCTGAACTCTTTCTAATCTAGAATGTATTCAGGCTTACAGTGTGAGCTTTTTTAATAAGCATGTTGAGCAAACTTATTCCTGGGATTTAGTGAACATATTCCCAGATGCTTCTTTTCTCTCAGAAGGATATTACTACATCCTAAATTATCAGCAAGATGTTCAAGCTAGCATGCACATACAGCAAGAGCTCATCTCAGGAGGCAAAGGACAACGATGACTCATTGAGACTGATTCACTTCCAAAATCTGAGGGAGGTGAGGAGTGGGAAATGTTCTTCTTCAATATTAAATAGTTTGGGGAAAGGGATACATTCCCATTTTGTAAAGTAAAGCCTGTGAGACAAAAATGAAAAAGTCCTAGCTGTGGTTTTGTTTGTTTGTTTCATAGCTAGAATCCAATACCATAAAAAGGACTATTTAGTACATAAGAACAGGAAGGCACTCTGATGGTCAAATTTTTAAGACATGCTTAGTATCTTCAAAAGACAAAATCAAATTACATAGAACTGCTTCTTTCAAAGCAACATCGGTCGCTTCTAGCTATAATAACATCCTTTAATCCTTAATTCAAGCCTCTATTGCTTTTCCCACTATTTTCCTCAGAACTGATATCAAGACAACCAGATTTAATTACTTAGCTTTTGTTCTTTTTAATATTGGCATGGTACTAACATCTTTCTATTCTCTATAGAGTTTTCTTGGTTTATCTGGGTTTATTAAAAGACTGACCAAGAATAGCTGGGGGGAAAGAGCATTTCTGAAATATCTTTAAAAAGAGAGCACTGAAGGAATCTTGAAATTGCCACATCTAAACAGCAAAGAAGCAGGGATATAAGACTAGAGCAAGAAGTGGACACCTAGTAAAGACTAAATTGGCAAATTATTCTGAGAACAGTCATAAAGAAAAAAAGATAACCCAAATACATTTGGTGCAAAGCCGTCCAATCATGCCATTCACTCCACTGTATAAAATCCTATAAATACACAAAACAATGTGAGCAATAAAGACATAAGCCAACACCAATCATTGACTTCAGCTCCTATTGGTACTGTCCATTTTTGATAGACAAAAATAATTACACAGCTTTTGATAAAGATTTTTATATTTACAAATAAATTCTCCAAGGAATCTGAAAATTTGAAGAAACTTGATTCACAATAGAAAAACTGGGAA